TTTGAAAAACTATCTATTCTCCGCTATACTAAGGTAAGCACTATTACGTTCACGCAAAGTCGGCTACCATCCCCCCTCTGCGCTCTAGCGCTCGTTGCTGGAAAACAACGGTGTTCCCTCACTGCCTCTCCAATAATTTTCACCTGTTCTTCCTATTTCCTGAGAAATCAGGTGCTATTACTTATCTACTTTCATCTGTTTCTCCTGAGAAATCAGATGCTTTCTTATACTTAACGTTATGCCTTTTGTGACCACTCATCCTCTCATGAGAAGGCGATCCAACGAGAGGTTTTCCTTAGTAGACCGCTTCTCCCCCTGTTAATCATGAAATAATTCCATCTGAGGTAACAATCTTTATCAAGTTAAATGAAAAGAACATTTATCGTCGTCTGTCGTCTGACAACAAGTCCACGATGCTATCCTTCTTATCATCTGAGACGACACGTTCTAATTATAGGATGGGTGGGAACGACCGTAAATGATACGGGAGCCAAGCGGTCACACCAAAAGTGTGGTCCGTATTCTGCCTCTACCGGCATCAAGTTCCGGACGTGAGTTTTCCACTTGATTTCAGTCACAAAGAGTTACTTAATGTTAACTTACTATGTTTCAGTGGCAATGCCCACGCTTACTACTGAGTTGATTACTCGTTTACTTCCTCGTTATTGGTATAAGTAAATGAACCACTGAACTACACTCCCTTCCCCCTCCTCCTCCTACCTCCCCACCATACAACCTCCTCGGGGATGTCAGGAAAAGGTGAAAGCGTCCGCAAGATAGTAGATTCTTTCTCATGGTTCAATGATTCTTGTTAGTAAAAACATTTTAGCATAGGCTTTTAGACATCATAAATATGTACCCATTTTGTTTCTTTAGGTACGGGAATACTTAAAACTCTTTCATGTTTTCAAGGTCCAAAATAAAGTGATATAATAGGAAGATCAGGAAATTAAATTGTAAACAATCTCGGAGACTTACAATAAGTCAAAAAACAGTGGAGGTAACTAAAATATCCCCAAAAATTGACAGAGGATGTCTACAAGAGCTCACTTTTTTCCTATTTTCCGAAAAACCTATCTTACCGGGAATTAACAGAAAGCTTATCATCAATATCAGAGGCTTAAGCAAAAAAACTCCAAGCACAACAATATAAACCTCTCTGGGAGTCCTATCGTATCGAAAAAAAAACACATCAAAAAAAAGGAAAAAAAGAGGACCTTAACAAAAAAAACGAAATATTTGGGGTCAAGTGACAAATCGTGGCAAGCCCTGCTGGCCACTGCAGTGTGGTTTCCCGCCTGCTAGTGGGCCTAATTGCAAGATCTACGTACGGACGGTTACAGTAAATGATCTGTTGGAGGGACCAACCTTATTTCCTTTGTTCTTTTTTCATTTTAAAATCCACTTCTTTTCAAAAGCATGGTTCATGATAAAAATGGCCTCCTAGATGTCATCTTATCCTACGACGATTCTGTGGTTCCCCCACATACTATATGTAACATTGTCAGGATGAAAAACCGCTCAGATAGCGCATTAAAAGTGCTTAAAGATTGTATCGGTTATATGCAACGCCCAAAAACCGACGAGTTTTAACGGCTTTGCAGGTACTGCACCATTCACCAGGGATACCCAAGTTGGAAATTTGAAAGAACTAATGTTGACTAGTGGCGGCAGTGGAAGGCAGCTTTGGGCATCAGACACAACATTTGAAATCTCGTCCGATTACCTCTTCCGCTGTTTTGGTCATGGTAATATCGTACAGCCGTTATAATCGTTACCTTTAGAAAACCTAATATTTCTCTTATTCTGTCGATTATTTTTGCCATCAACACTTAGGCTTTCCCACTTGGATGGATGACTCAAATTCATCGTCGACTGCCTTTGAATTGGGAAAAGGTCTTTCCAATTCAAAAGGTTCTCTCAAAAATGAATACACCCTTCTCTCAAAGCCTCGTGTCACTTAACGTGAAATAGGATTTCTGGAAGACTCATTCGCTCAGAACGGTAGCCTGATGCACTCGGCGGACAACACTCGTTCACGCCACATTTACCTCAGGAGAACTTACGGGCGGCGCCATTTCCGTAACACTTATCTCCTGCACATAAAAACTCGTCCATACTTCTAAATCCTTGTCGGTGACCGACTACGCTGCGATGCGCCAGTGTGAACGACATTATACATGCCAGCGCCCACATTACTGTATTGTTTTACTGCAACTACCAGCCCATTTGTTCCCACGACGTCCCCTTGGTGCTGATCCTTGAAAATGTGCCAGTGAAAACAGCGCGTCAATTAACGTGCAACCGCATTCACACCTTTTGCAACCAAAAAGACGCCTATAATTTACTGTATCGAATTTTGTGCTCGCGTGCACATCGTACGTGTGGCGTACGTGCTGGTTTTAACCACACTAAGATCGCATAGCATGTGACTTTAGGTTCATTTCCAGTAACGGTACAGTAGTCATTTTTGTGGCTGATTGAGATGTCTGCTGATCACATTGGTGGGGTTCTGTCGATTAGTCGTGGTATGTGTCCGTTAGCCTCCAATGCTTAAATTTTTGATCGCTTCTTTATCATACAGATGAATATGGGTCGTGTGTACTTATTGTTTTATTCAAATTGAATGTTTCATCTACCATTTACCCATTCTTTGACGATGTTTTATTTCAAACTATCTCCCGTGATGTATTTCGTTTTGATTACTATTTATGAAGATTCTGCTTGTTTTTATTTGTTCCCGTTTGTCGTTTTGTTCTTCCTTTGCTGCTTTCATGGATTCTTCTGGCTTAGTTTTGTATTCTCGTGTGAGACCTGTGTTATCTCTATGGCCTTAATCAATCGATAATGTGTTTATCAGCAGAAATGCAATTAAACCGAATCATTTTGTATTGTAGTTTCAGTGAAATGGCCCGGTCGAGATCACGTTCACCAAGACGGGATCGTATTGACGACAGGAAGAAAAAAGACAAGAAACGGCGAAGACGTGATGGATCCAGCGATACTTCTGAATCACACAAACTTGGCAGTATATTACGTGAACGTTCACGGCGAAGTCGAAGCATTAGCAGGGAACGAGAACGTGATCGTGATCGAGAACGGTCTGATAGGGATCGTGATCGAGACCGTGATCGTGATCGTGAGAAGGAACGTGATAGAAGAAGGTACGTTTGTTTTACTTTACAGAAAAAAAAACACGACTAATGTAAACTTTAAATGGCACTCAGAAAAATTGCCATTGTTATCGAGTTTAACATATATTGGCGACGCTGTCGTTTTCCTGATTATTACTGTACTGTCATAGGAGTGTAACCCGCTAAGAGCACTAGATCAGTATCGATCTGGCATGTGCTGGCAAGGTGAGAAGGTGGATCATTGAGTACGCTATCGTTTTTATGTGCTTGTAATCTTTGCAGGCTTAATCGTCGCGTCGTTTCCACAGAACTAGAAAGATTGATATGTGTCTAATGCTGCTAGCAGATTTCACTGCTCTACTGATTCCAAAACTCTCCATCTAACAAATCAGTGGCTCCGCGAGTAGCATAATAGGCATACAGATAGAACCATTTATTTTACATCCTTCAATTATGATAGTTAACTGTTGGAAAGGCCAGTAATGCTAGTAATGCTAATGCCTTCTAATGTTGGTGATACTCCATGTTCCACCATTCTACAGATTACACGCATTAACAGTACGTTAAGGGCTTCGCGAACTCTCATAACCATTTAATGCCATTCTCAGATTCCATTCCACAATTTTCCTTTTAGGAACAGTTGAGTCATTTTAGCTATTTGAAACGGAATGTTCCACGTTTTGCTTGATAGAAATTCGATCGTCTGTCTAGTGCATTTTGGTGTCTGCTTTTCCTTTCCCTAAGAAAGGAAAACCCTTTGCATAAAATATTTCTCATGGTGACGTGAGAGTGCGTTTCGCACATAAACTCAATGCTACGAATAATTTCGTCGGCGAAACAGTCAGTCCCCGTTTACTGCGCTAGCGCTTAAGTGGAGGGACTTTGAAATATTGATGAGTTCGAGCAGCTATGCTCTAAAAAACAATTAAAGCTGGGACGTTGTAAGGGCTTCAATCAGCTTTCGAGTAAAATGTTAAACTCGAAGGAGAAGAGGTATTAAGTGACCTGGCGATCTATCTATTGCTTAAATCTTTTAATAATGAGAAATGGCAAAGATCTTGCCAGCAGCAGCTAAATGAGTTCTTGTCACATCTTTCGCTATTCGAACAAATTTTTTTTTCAGAACTGCTCTGTCTTCGGAAGTTGAGCGAGAGCTCTCAGGTGCTTTTGATATCTCTAGCATATCTACGGAGGCAAGAGAATGGCTCGAGGAAAGAATTGCTGAACAGGTAATCTCATTGTTTCTTCGTCGAATACTTATACACCGACTTACCATTTTCTGTTAAAGTTTTGCGTTGAGACTGGTTCTTCATAATCTCAGTCACCCAAAAACAGATGTATTTAATAATAAAAATGGCATACAGCCGCCAATTATTGACCTGCAAATGATATTTATCGTTCTAGGATACTAGTTGAAAATTCCAGAAAATGGCAGTCGGTTTGCTCGTAGGTAGAGGACACATTTAAGGTGTGTGTGCTTCGCCGCATATACTAAGGCGACGTTCTTCTAACGATCGTTGCCTATGGCGCTGCCATTTCAGCCAGCAAAAAGCTAGTAGCTTGTGCGCTTTTCTTCTTCATCGTTTTCCACACCGATTGAGTCTTGTTTTTATACAAATATCGTGAAACAATTGTCCATGTCGATGGATGGTGACCGAGTTTCAACGCAACTTATTGGGACTACTTGCAGGTATTCTGTTATTTTACGCACAGGTTCGGTGAGAGCGTTTTGCATATCTATGCCGGTGCAGCAAAATTGAGATTATATGCGTAGAGTGTGGGAGCAGTTTATTTTCCGGCTAGACAACTATTAATTGCTCATTGTGCTTCATTCACGTTCTAATAACGAACATTCTCTTTCAAACTTGTGTAACGATAGACCACTTCAGCATTCCCATTTCAGGTTCTCGAGAGGGTGAAGAAGTTGGAGGAAGCCATGACAGAAAGTCAGAAAAGAGCACGAGCGGAGGTGGAGTCTCGATTAAGAGCACAAATACTCGGCGAAATGGAAGAGGAAATGGCTTCCATACGCAAACGAGAAGAGGCCTCTAAAGCAAAGTGTGCTGCTCTCGAGAAGGAACTTGAAGAGAAAGTTCGACAAGCTGATGAGAGTGAAAAAAGGTTTGTCATTGCGATTCCTTATCACCCCTTTCAGTTTGGATCTAGGTAATAACATTCAGCAGATAAAAGCGAGCATATTTGCTCAGTTAAGGCATCGCTGGTCTTTTTTCCCCAGGAACAGCAGTGATGGGTGACGAAGAGAGCATCGCCATATTACGGATTTGGCGACCTCAGATCGCATAAACACGTGGCGTTGAGGTTGAACAAATTGACGGCGACAGCGGTGCAGGCATTGAGCATTTAATTTCTCGTTCCTTTAGGTTCAACGAGGAGCGCCTGGCAATGCTCGCTGAGAGAAGTGCGTTGGAACGTGAAAGGCAGGAAGTTCTCCGAGAAAAGAGTGCGCTACAGCAAAAGGAGCAACTCGCTATCATCAATAAGGGTGGAGCCGTTCGACCTCCGATCAAGTTTTCGTTCGGGAAATAACCTCTCAATGTCACTGGCATTTTATTGACTCATGTTGTTACTGTTATTTTTAAAAATGGATTTTGTATAACTGTATATTCTTGTCTCAGAAAGGTTAAACTTTTACGTTCCGTTTTGTATTTTTGTTCCTGAAGCACTGCGTTGTTGTGTTCCTAATGTATGTTGTTGGTATGATTACTGTTCAGGGCTAAATATTGTCGTTTGTAGCCGTCTTGGTGATGTACGTGTAGAGAGGCTGAGGTAATGCTAAGGTGGGCTCGAGAATTTCCTACTGTCTTAAACGCAAGAAAAGCCACCTTTTTCCTGCCGAGTGGTTAATTTAGATGGTTATATATGGACTTATTAATAGAAAGTTGTTTTTTTCTTTGCGATGTTCACTGATCTTTCGAATATGGAGGAGAAGGCGTTGCATAAATCGTCCCCGTTGAATGGCGTTGTTTTATGAGTTGGAGTATTGTCCTGTTATGTCCTAGTTGCGGCTTTCCTTAGCTTATCGAAGCTTCTCTGTCTTGTTATGTAGGCGACAACGGAATGTCGGTCATCCTCCCTCTCCTCTCCTCGCCTCCGGTTCTCCATTCTCCGCCTTCATACAGTGTGATTCATAAAGTTGTCGCAATGCGTTAAACAATGACTGGACCGATTGGGTCGATAAGCGCTTTGTCATTCCCCATGTTCATTGCGAATCGCTCCCAGTTGGTGCTCATCCCTTTGGAAACCTCGCGAGTTTCATTCAGATTAAGCTTCGTTTTNNTGTCCATCTGATGTTCCATCGTTTTCGTAGTGATGAATTAAATATTTGCCTGTAAAATCCATCAGAAGTTATCAAGGGCAGTGCTAACACAATAAGTGGGAGTTCCCATCTAAATACTATTACGCAAAGAGGGTTCGATTTCACATTTTATTTATATGAGAATATCTATGCTTTACTACATGTATAGTATTGGTTTTCGCGGTTTTTTCGGCTTTCGAGCAACATATTGTTTGTTTTTATTCTTTTTACTGCCGTAATCGTCTAAAAGGTAACTAATCAAGTTACCCTGCAGTATTCAATAAGAAACAAGTTCTCGTTACAAATTCAACATTTCCCTGAACCCCACTTCCATCGTCAGCCCTTGCTGATGAGCTGCGCTAACAAGAACTAAGCCTGAAGTGGCTAGTCTTTGGGTAAAAAGAAAGAACTATTTAAGTTGACCCATTAATTTATTCTGGTTTTCTCTGTTTTAGCAATGATGAATTCAAACTCGGGCTGGCTGCTTTTTTTGCCATTACCACTCCATCCTACCGCTGAGCTTCAGGTAGACCTTGCGTTAGTGGCATCGAAGTCTCTCGAACGTAATCCTAAGCGATAGCTCTGGAAACCTTTGGTTTCTTGGCAACTAACTTGTAACTTAAATCAAATTTAAATTGAACTCAAATGATTGGAGATGAGATCTAACTTGGGACTTCGATAATAATGTAATAGCGAGAGGAGCTGATGATGTGTAACATCAACCAAATTAATATTCACATACTTGTGATACAAAAATTAGTCTATCTACACGAAATGTGTTATAGGAGTACGATTGAAATCCAATGAAACAACCGATACAAAGCAGTCTATTAAGGCGAAATAGGTTGAGGCTCAGTAAAGGAACGAAGAACAAATAAATGGACGTTCTGACGTCGGTCAGGGCGCTAAATGCTAATCGACGGCTCAACTGCACAAGTTACGAAGATCAAACCAGTTGAAATCAAAGATCGTTATATGCAAAAGTAATAAGGGTTCGAGCGATAACCAACTCGGCCAGTTCTAGAACACTGGCCGGGCAACTATGCCGTGCCCATAGGTCGGCTTTCGCCTTCTGATCAGCCGTGGCAACTAGAGCTCAATATCGTAGAGCAGTAGTAGGGTATTCGACGTGCACCATGTCAGGGCCCTTCACGAATCAGTACGACCATGTGGGATGCTTCATGGTAGCATTGATCGCAGCACCTTCAGTCTGATGAGTAAAGGGTGAAATCTTCCGGCTTTGATCAACCTCCTTTCGGGATGCGCTCCGAATTCGACTTCCATTCTTAGTCGTAGTCGTGTTCGAAGTGCTATGTAGTCTCTAGAATGACTTGTGGTGTGCAACTGAAATCCAGGACTGTGTTTTCGTCCACGTACACGAGCCTGGTACCATTTATCCACCCGGAGGGCTTGCGGCTATGGTTAGCCTGGGCAGAAGGGTATCAGTCGTGGATTAGCTGCCGGACCATCCGTGTTACAGTGCGCTACTTGCTATTTCACCACTTCCATCCAAGCTGTCGAATACCATGGGCATTTCTTTAGTAGTTCCTCGGGGATAAATATGGCTTCGCCTCGTGATGACTTACATATACGCCGATGAACGAGGGTTCTACTGGGCCTGAACGATGGAAGAACTCCTCAGGAAGTACCATAACGAGGGGCAGCTCATCTACCAGCTTCCCAATGCATCCCGTCGCTTTGAAAACTAAGCAAGCTACAAGAGTCAAGAGCCTGCTCTCCTATCTGCTGAGATAGAATGTGTATGCTCAGATCGCGAAGTGAAATCCAGGCTTCGAAATCCTTACTGAAGAAACGCTCCGAGAAATGGAATTTCTCCTGCAGAACTCACTAAAAATAATATGTTCATTAAATCTTGTTCGATATGTTTGTAGATTGTGAATCATTCATTTTTCACTTCAGTACGGGTGTACTTCATCTGTTATCATTGCACCTTAGCACATATTTTACGTTGTGGTAACAGTCTTCATCGTAGGGATTTCCGTTCAACAAATAGTACTCGCGATCTGAAATTTAGTTGAATTCCTCTATAAAGTTTCGCTGTTCAAATGGGAACCCGATGATTACTTGGCATTGCCCCACGACAACTGTAACATCGGAAGCATTCATGATGGTACTTCTTCCTCATAGCCATTACACACGACTCGCGAAGTGGCAGGTTGCAAGCTGAAACCGATCAGCTGCATTATCGGAAAAGGGGACGGATGAAGTTTTTGGCGTTGATCAATTTCACTTTTGAGACGCATTCGTGTTTCATTCAGAATCGTGGTGGCGTTTTAAATGTGTAAGTGACCTATACAGTGCGGTAACCAGCTGATGTACATGTCGGTGTTTTGCCTTCCCAGACTAGTCTGGTACCGCTCAACCGACTTCCCAGACTAGTCTGGTACCGCTCAACCGACCCCTTAGGGATGGAAGGCTCGGTAGCGCGTCACTTGCCAATACACTACTTCCTCCGTTAGGGTTAAGGATATGGGCAAACACAGGTCGAAACCACGTTCAGAGTTTGTGATACTTTTGGAGGAAGTTCGAGATTGCTGGATAAGTCAGTCCAATGCTCCTCATCAGGCGCGGACGAGTTTAACAGTTTTGTAGAGGGTACCGATTGCGAGTTTGGGAACAACTGTTATGAAGATCACAAGGCACAAAAGTCGTACATGCAAGCCTCCATTTTTACTTGACCGAGAATTCGGGATACGTGAAGGGTACAAGTGTAGTGCTCATGTCTCTGCGCAAATGAATAGTGTTCTGCTTTACGGTCTTGAAAAAACCCAGCCCTCAATCGTCCCAGGGAACTGTGTGGGTGTGGGAGCCTACTACTCGAACGGCATGTTGTGGTTATTAGGGTTAACTTTGTTAATGTACCTTCACAACAAGGATGTTGAGTTTCCATGTAGCAGTCAATGCAAATCGGTGAACAGCCATCCTGAGGACAAGCACGACAACCGCTCACCGTCACAGGTGCCTAAACGAATATCGTTTTGGGTATCTTCGATGGAGAATTGATATGGAGCTTCGTTGAAAATGCTCTATTCTATGAGAGTTAAGATGCTGTGGTTTTTCAGGGGAATCTCAGGAATAGACTCGGAATACGGGATAAGTGAAGGATGTTCCTTATTACAATGTCCCTCAGAATTGGATTTTTTCCTATAGTACCCGTTTAAAGACAACCCATCTAGGATTTTCAGATAAAGAAAATGTTTTCCATAATAGGCGCTGATTTCTGAAAAATATCTCGACCAGAGGTCGATTAGATTACGGGCTCAATTCAGAGACCTTGTCATTCTTTTTGTTGGGGTTAAATTATGATAGTAATAAATCAGTCATCTCCACTTTTTAACACAAACACACATGCATTCTATAGAAGACTTCTCATTAATGAATTTTTGAGTGCGTTTTTATAAGTATCTACAGCTTTATTACTTACATCTTTAGTTCGCTCACTTCACTGACTGACTGACTTACTTTCTGGGTTCAAGGAGAGGAAGGGAAGGAGTTTCTTTTGCTCACTCGATTAGTACTAGTTCAAAGCGCTATCCAAGTAGAAAATTTCCAATTTCACATAACAAGGATGCTTTGGGATTCATATCTTCTTAGAATGGCTGCTTTCCATCGAATTTCAGTCACTTTTAGGAGTTAACAAGAAAAATAGCTTTAAAATCCGCTCGCTTGCGATAACGGTAACGCTTACCTTACAGATCATACAAAATAGGTGTTTCAGATGCCATATACGTCCAAGCACATAAGCAGCATCGTCCTAATTGTAATTGTAGTATAATTATTGAAATATCACAATTATGTCCAATTAAAAGTTGGATCGGATCAGTTGGAGTAGTAAAGTAGACTAAGCCTCCTCAGTAATCGACGGCTTTTATTAGAAATACTGTATATATTCAGGCGCCAGCTCAAAGGTTTGTGAAGTTTTAGCGAATACCCACGTCTTCTGAGGCTGTACAACTATACAGTTCCACCGTTATAAAGGTTGCGTTGGCGATATCTGTACTTTTTGATGATTCATTGTTGGCAACAGCATTGGACGTAATCGTGGTGATATTGGTCGGGAGGAACGCCCACATAAGCCTACACCCCCCACCCACGAGGCTTTCAATATCTTCGTTAAGTAAATATTTTTTCAAAGCCCATGTCGTCTCATACAAAGGAATCCTAAGAGACTCCATTTTACTTCATAAAATTTAAACAAAATGTGCTTCCGAATAATACAGCAACAACAAGGCAGTAAGTTTAGTATCGGACCTGTCGTGTGTCCGCTTTGGTGATGTCCTTTTCACAGCCAGGGCACTGGATTAGCCACCTTTTCTTCTTTTCCTGCAAGAAAAACGTACTGAAATGAATAATTTCCCAGTTAGAAACCCAATGTACAAACTTTTGGTGAAGTTTTGTTTGGCTTAGACATCGGTATTGAGTTGAAAAGTTGAGGAGAACCGACAAGCAGATATATATCGCAGTAAATGCAGTAATGCTTGTTCTCTGAGGTGTCATGGTATCTCTTGAGAAAAACTTGTTTACCTTCCTCTTACCCATCGAATGGAATGAAACATTGCTGGATCTCCGCTCACATACGTTTCTTCAGGCTGTTACGAAAGTCTAAAAGAGCAAGACGTCTTTTGGCGCGGACCAATACCATTTGTGGGATGTGCACCGCGCTCGACTATTAATGAGAATCGCAGTCGCATTTGAATGCGTATTTGGCCTATACAATTAGTTGCTAGGGCCAAGTCAGTACTTTTATCTTCTAGAAGGTCTGGTATCGACTAACCGGTGCCGAAGGAACTAGGGGCTCGATTAGCTCGGGATAGTGTCATACGGGGTTCGGACCCCGAAACATGCATATGGTAGACCTTCGCTTGAACGGCATCCTACTCTTACAGACTTTTATACCAATATGAAAACGAAGTTTGAGGTTGAGACCAAAATCATATTAATGGTTCCGTCTATGACCAGCCCAATACACTCAGTTCCATAGTCTCTTCTATCGTTCAAGTCTGCCAGTCTTTCAATCAGCTGTTGGCCTACCTGCAGTTGGAAGTTTTTGAGGGTCACATGCAGAAACAATTGGTAGTGAAGTGACGAATGGCTTCCTGAGAGCGAGCTGCGGTTTTAGTGGCTCTTATACTGACTGCAAATTTACACTGAAAAATATAGTCGGCGACTGTCTATTCATGCTATTTTTATCTCCGCCTTTTCACAACGAAATCTAATTTCAAAGTTGAATATTTTGAAATCCCAACTTCCGGAACACTTCAGAATTCTTTTACTGATTGAAAATCCCTGGCGGATCCTGTGCTACTAACTGAGACTCAGACACAAATGAAACGACTTTGGCTAACTGGGGATTCGGAGAAGTTTTACCCTTGAAATATTTCCTCCTTTTGAAAATATGGAATGATAGCGCAGGAAAAGAAGTTTCCAGAGAACCTCTGAAGTTCCCGTTTTCTAACTTTCACTTTCTTTTTACTGCATGATTTGACTTTTTCGAACCGTTCTAGGTTATTAGCTATGGAAAGTTGTCGTCACTGAAAATATGAATACCCCTGAAAGGGTGTTTAAATGAAAGGGGGAGGGGGGTGGATATAGTTATATGAGTCTTCTTATTCTTACAGATTGAAATTGTATAATACTTTTTTCAATTACTGGATTCGACAATTTCGTTTCCACTGCACCACATCCTTTAGATGAACTTAATACTGCCTAAAATCGAGATCTTCGAAAGGTATTAATTTTTTACTCACTTTTACCCTTTGCTACAATAGTTCATGTGAGATTTTCCTCTCCGGCCCCACTTTTGTTTCTTGATTTTCATGGAGAGAAAATTAAAATTTTTTCGAAAGTGGCAACTGTTTTGGAGATCTGGTCATTTTATTGATTTTACTGATATTTTTATGTTACTATTTATACAATTCCGTTGCTAGCCTCGAGGGATTATCCATGTGTTGTTGCTTAGTTTCTCTCTAATGCAATTAATTATTTGTTGTTTATTAATTTCATGTGCATATGCGCATGCAATAAATAAATAGATAAATAAATAAGTACCTTAATAATTGCTGGAGTGCATATGTAAATAAGTGCTATTAGTTCTACCCTTTGCTGCATTTTGACTCGGAAATTTGGTTTATAGTTAAGAATTACTTATATAAAATCGGGTTTAATTTGATGTAAACAATACCACCATGTCATGGGATCTACCCGAAGCAATAATTGCCTTTTTTTTACAATTTTTTACTTTTTGTTACACTTTTGAGTAAAGAGATCTGTTCAAAGGTGATAGAGCTATGAGATGGTCATGCCGTGCTCTTGAACTGCAGCTGGTCGAGGATAGGAGGTTGTGCTTTGCGTTGGTGGAGGTGATTTCAGTCAGCAACCACACAGCAGTGTGATGCGCGCTATCCGCTTGGACAGCCGGCTGGCCGGCCATCGATTGCATCGCGTCGGAATCGCCGGCAATACCGTCTTTCTACAGGTAACCGCCTCTAGTCATTCTGAAATCGTACAATTTTGATATTTCAACTATTATGTTTTTACTTCAACCTTCGTTACTCGTTATTCAACTTATTGAGACCTTTTCTTGATTTTTGAGCATTTTTTATTACTTTTTTTTCGAGTCTTTTCTATGAAGTTCTGGTAAGTGCGAGGAAGTAGAGTTCAACCAGAAGACTCCAAATAATTTGAATCTTTCGCGAAAACTTCTCCTATGAAGACTATCTGGGGTTTTGATGGAGGGTGTGACGTACATTCTCCGTTCCGGCGGCGATAAACGTCAAATTGGCGCCCTGTTTTCCTCAACAAGTTCATTGAAACTGTTAAAGGAAACCTTTCCCCTTCTTTCCATCTCTAATATCACGTTCCTTTAGAATCATATCCATGATAATGCTATGACATGTGTCCGTAAAAAAGTGTGATATTTCAGTGTAGATAAACTAGATTACTGAAATCATTACCAACAAAAACCAACATGTGGAATTAATCCAGCCTTCCAGCCGACGAGCAGCAACTCGGTCCAGTTATGGAGCCTGCATACACTGTTCCCAAACAGCTGGCGACAGATTTTCTGCTTACCTGTCGAGGAAGTATTCTACACCTTCCCATCGTGTTCCTATCATCATCCAAAACTGTTCGTACTCATAGTCGCTATCTTTGTAAGTATTCTTTATGTATTTTCTCTTTCTTGGTTACGATCTCTGCCTTGTCCAACGACAGTTCTTTCCAGAAAGATGAGCAGTATCCGCGGATATCCATTTTTGAAGTGAATAGAGAAAGTGGCGAGAGCAAAGAATACAGGTGACAACCCATATATATCCTTTCAATACTTAACCATTTCAATTTACTCGTTTACTAGTGCTAAGCACAAGTTCTTGAACCTTCAAACTGCATGAGGACCGCATAACCTCAGCCCCTGTAGTTTTTGTGACCTTTTTTTCTGATTCTGTTCCTTTTCGTCTAGTTGGGAGGGTGATCTGTCCAGCAGCGTAGTGCCGGCTTTACACCGTGAACAGACTACGATAGCCTTCTGAAGGGTGGAATGAACAGTTCC